CTTTCAACAATAAAGATTTAAAAAAAAAAAAAAGTTGACCAGGGTTGACGACTGCCCCCAGGCATGAGACTCCCTCCCTGGTAGGGTCTCTATCCTTATTCTTAGTGCCTGCAGTTTGGGAGACTGATCCAGCTCCTTGTGTCTCCAATCCTGCTTCCACATGGCTCCCCCCACATGCCACTTCCCTGGTCCAAAGTCTTCAGGGCTCCTCATCACCTACAGGACACAATCCACCTTCCAGATGTCCCCACTGCGACCACCCCGCGTCAAGCCACCATCTCCCTCACCAGAAGCATTTGCCAACAACCTCCCAGCTGGGCTCCTGGTTAACAGCTGACGTTGTATGACATCATTACTCTGCTCAAAACATTCTAATCATTCCCCATTTCACTCAGATAAAAGTCAAAATCCTCCCAGAGGCCACACAGAAAAAACCTCACAACATCTGGCTTTTCTCAAACTTCCTGCTCCTCTCCCTCCGGCTCCCTCCACTGTATCTCAGCCATGCACTCCTCCTACGGTTTCTTGCACAAAGCAGATCTGCTGCAACCGCAGGACTTTTGCACGGCTCCTCAGTCCAGAGCCCTTTCACTCGCTCCCGGCTTCTTCACCAGCTTCAGATCATTATTCCAATGTCACCTTCGTAGGAAGCCCTTTCCTAACCACACTAAAACCCCACCGCCCCATTCTTCCTCCTGCCAAATTTTCATCTTCTCACTTACCACTAGTACACTTTATGTACATTTATATATTTTTACTATTATTTATAGTCTGTTTCTTCCCACTAGAATGTAAGTTCCATACGAACAGTGGTTTTGTTTTGTTTTTTTGGCCTGTTTTGTTCACTGCTGAATGAATGCCAGTGCCTACTCCAGGGCCTGGTACATAATAGTTGTTCAATAAATATTTGCAAAATGAGTGGCTGAATAAAAGGCATACAAGATCATGCATGGTCTGGCCCATGGCTAGCACTCTAGCTTCTTCTCCAACTATTCTCCCACCCCATAATGCTTATACTCCAGCAAAACAAATCACCCTTCATTTTCTGGACATGCCATGCTCTTGTGTGCCCCGTGGCCTCTGCCTCGGTGCCCGTGTCAGCAATCTCTCAGCCTCTTGCAAGAAGCAGCTCTAGCGCCACCTCCTCTGTGAAGCCTCCCCTCTTCCCTGGGATCAGCAGGCACTCCTGCCTCCACGTTCCAGCTCAACCTGAGACAGTACCTCCGACGCCGGCTCTGTGATAGTGCCGCTGGGGAGAGTGAAGCAGATAGGAACAGATGCTCGAAAGATCAAATTCTAATCTGAAAACATATAAACCCGAGCTGTGTCTTGCATGCAGAACTCAGCTGTCCCCTCAGCCATGCAAATCAAGTTTTTAAATTCTGGTAACAGAATTTCAACTTACTACAAGCAATCTGGTATTCAGCAGATTTCCCTTAATAGTGTTAAATAACAGCTAATAATATTTTTAAATAAATATAAATGGTAAAAAATAAAGCATATGGCTTTTTTTTCCGATCGGAAAAAAAAAATATCTGCATAGCTACACATTGCCAATTTTTGTCAAAATCCCTTTTAACAGTTGATAACTTAGGGGAAAAGAATAAAACTTTCCTCTGGTTTTCTAAATTCTACCAGCATTTCAAATTGAGAGTCCCAAACACATTGCTATTTGAACTATTATTAGTTTAGTTCTTCACAAAATGTCTTTACTAAGTGATGATTTAAAGCATTTCTTTATCACCCTTTAAAGTAACATTGGGGATATTGTTGTGTTGTTCAATGACATAAAAATCTGTATAATAAAATTCCCTTAGAATTAAGTACCAGAAAAAAATACCTGTTGATGGACCATTATACATTCTTTCCCCAGAGGATAAGACTAACTAGTTGAGTACCATTGATACTCAAGACAAAATAAGTTTTTTTTTTCTTTTTTTGGTAATTTTCACCTGAGGATATGTTTTCTCTATTGATTTTAGAGAGAGGGTAAAGGGTGGGGGGAGGGGAGAGAGGGAGGGAGAGAGAAGGAGAGAGAGAGAGAGAGAAAGAGAGAGAGAGAAAGAAAGAGAGAGTGAAACATCAATGTGAGAGAGAAACATAGATCGGACGCCTCCCCCTCATGCCCCACACAACCTAGGTCCTAGGCATATACCCTGACTGGGAATTGAGCCCACAGCCATTCCGTGTAGGGATGACGCTCCAAACAACTGAGCCACACCCAGTGGTACTGAGGCTTCGATGCCAAACCATTAGCAATCCCAATGACTAAGTGGCCCAGCACATGCAATGCCCTGATTGGGTCAGACTCTCTTTGATAAGTTTCAGAACCCTCCAGTGCCTCCAAACTTCTGTTTTAAACATTTCTAAGTCTACAAAAATAAAACCAAAATAGCCAAAAAATAAAACCAACCAAAAAAGACAAACAAACAAACAAACCCAATACAATTGTTACTACTAATATCATCTCTCTTTTCTCTTCCAAGTCCCGTGTTCCCCAAAACATATTAAAGTCATGTGTCCTTTTGTACCTTAGCTTCAAGGAAGTCCTGGCTAAATATGATGGTCAACAATGGAAACCACCCATAGTTTAAATTTCTCATAATTACCTCCCTCTGCCTTCCCTGCTGTCCTGTACTTTTGATATTTTTACTCTTCTTTTAAGTTTTCTATAGCATGTACATATGTATTTTACTACAAATTGTCTCAAATGCTTTTTTGGGGGATGGAGTAAGAATGACATAAATTTCAAAAGACCAATTATTGGGATTTCCACTTCCAGGAGACTTTCTCTACCTGCTATGACAGAGTAGCTTATGTCAGACCAACTCCTTTCCTGAGAACAACTACAAAACATGGATACGTTACAAAAAAACCGATGACTGAATGCACCGCTGAGCAGGCCAGGGTCAAGGGGGCAACATCACCGACCCGACAATGTCCACTGCTTTTTCGTTGGAGATTCACCAACTGTGAGAGGTTTAGGTCAGAGACTAAGTCAAGTTAGTAGCTCAGAGCTGTCAGCACCTCATGGGGCCAAGAAGACAACTGAAGTGCAGGCCCGCGAAGAAAGCCACAATGTGAGGGGTCCAGGTCCGAGGGGAAGAGGCCCCGCAGGGAAATGAGCTGACATCACTTTTCCCCTCTAGGAGACGAACATTATGAAAGCTGCCTGGGGTGGGCAGTGGGGTGTGAGGGGCTGAGAAGCTAAGCACAAAGTCAATGCTAAGAGGCTAAAAGGTTAAGCAAAGTAATTACCCCAGACT